CATTCAAAACAGGAAATGAGGAGTTGTTCCAAAAGATGGATTGAAACCTCTCATCCTGAAGATGTTGAAACCAGCCATTAGCTTTGTCTGAATCTTTACCCTTTCTCTTACAAGAACATTTTAGCTCGAGTAGTCTGATTTCCCCATTTTGTGGCGCCTACATTTTCTGGCAGACTTTGATGTTAAATAGTAATATAAACTAATTAAGAGAAGTCAGCTGAATTTTACATTTCCTGGTCAATGTATATGCAGTCAGTCTCTTCTTAAGAAGACATTCTTAAAGGAAATTACAGAAGTATAATTGTACACCAGACAAGACTCTAAAACCCAAACTATGTTGCTCCAGATGAAGACATGTACTAGATAAGGAGAGTGTGCAGTTATCTTTAATTTTCTCAGTCTTGTGAAAAGCAAAAAATTGCATTACAGCAATTACAGCCCCTAAAATCTCAAGTAAATGCAGGACTGATCAGGAGATTTTTCTCAAAATATCTCACCATTGTGGCATAATACTTTTATCACAGTGTCATCTATGCCAGCACCAGATAGGCTGAAGGAATGATGCAATGTAAACATAACTATCAAGTCTCCATCTATGTTTCTGCCATTGTTAGCATGGAGTTATGTGCGTTGGGATATTTCGGTGCTGGAGGAACTTGAGGATCAAAGTTGCAGGAAAATTGAGGGAACCGAGCATCAAATATAGCAAGAAACATCCACAAGCCTAAAGGAGCCTCTCTAACGAGCTTCTTGCTCTGATCACCTTTCATGTTCTGAAAGATTTTTAAGGAGATGATATCAAGAAGAAAGATGAGTCAGAATGAAATGGACTGCATATCCCTGTTTTATTTATTACTAATTTCATAAAACCAACCAAAAGGATTTCAGCCACTTGTCACAACTTTGCTGTTACAGCTAAGTTTTTTTGTGATTTGTTATTGTGCAGGAAAATTAAGTTCACAGCTTTTAAACAAAGAAAACCAAAGCAGAACAGAAATGTTTTCCTTTAGCAATGACGTTTGCTTGAATATTCCTTTAGGATAGAGTGCAGCACCTCAAAGAGAAATGCTAAGATATTTATTTCAGATAGGCAGGGCCTTCTATAGTTGTCATTGATAAAATCACTTTGAACTGAAACATCTGACCAGAACTATGAACTGCTGCCTAAAAAATATTGCATCACATGAAAAAAAGCAAAATTATACATCTTGAAATGCAAACATTGCTTTCAGCCTCCCTTATACAATGCTTGATTGGTTTTATGGTACATACGCCCCAAATCTATTTATTTCAGATGTTTAGGCCTTTGCTACACGTAGAAGAGGCAATGACAGAAAAAGAGAGTAGTTAATAGTTGTGAATTACATTTGCACAAGAAGAGTCTCCCTTAGAGAAAATTAATTGTGAAAATGAACTCTCATAGTTTAGTCACATATTGATTTTTGTCTCAGATCTCTTTTCTGTTGCAGGAATCAAATGGAAATCCATGCCGTGTCCTTGCTCCCATGACTGTCAGAATTCAGGTTGCCCTGGAGACACGGTGCCACATTTGTGGAAGGGCAAGAGAGAGACCTCAGCCCTGCTGTCCTCTGGGGACCACGCTCCCGAAATCCTTCTGTGGGCCTCCTTTAACCCCCGAGAGCTCACAGACAAAGAGAGGCAGCCAAGTATTTGTAGTATGGGATGCTACTGTAAATTAAATGCTCACTAATGAAAGATCAGAGGGATCACTTAAAAAAAGCTAGCTTCGTATTGCTCTGCATGCCTTTGAGAAATACATAATCACGCTTTTTAGCAGCACAGCCACAGGCACTGCATATTTGAAGCAAGCAGAGCAGTAAAATCTCTGAGGCTTATAAAAAGGAGTGACACCGGGCAGCAATTAGCAACATTCTGGATATAAGAATATACAAGAATGCACCAGATTAGGACTATTCTTTAATCTACGTACATTTCTATCTGAATCATTCATCTGGAAACACTGGATAGTATCTGCTGGAAACGGAAAGTAGAACAAGTCAGCCTTACGGGCTGAGCTTGCTGTCAGTCTTCAGAGGTATGTAAATCCCTCAGCAGGCCAATACATTATTTCCTCTGTCAAACATAGGATTTACTACTCCCATCAGCGCACTGTCCTGTTATATTGTTACGCAAGAGGCTGGAGTTTGGGGAGGATTTTGGTACTTGGAGAACAAAAGCCTTCGCACACATGACATCAAGGCGAGCGCACCTGCGCAGCCCCTCTGAGCCTCGGGACAAATGAGCGCAGCTCATCTCCCTCTTTGCATCACCCAGCAGCAAATTGAGCATGGAGGGGAAACGAGGACAGCAGTGAGGGAATCTAGGAATACCAACTTCTCCGCCGTGTAGGCTGGCAATTAGGAGCTCTTGCGGAAACCTGTAAAATGGGAATGGGTTGGAGGATACTGATATATCCTGCAGTGAGAACAAAATGTTTCACACTGCTGCTGAAAGAAAAAAAGGCACGTGCATGTAGAAAGAAAGCAACACTGGCACTATACAAAATGGCATCTGTTTCCTCCAGCACTCTGTGACTGGATTCACAAGCCTTGTAGGGCGACTGTGAGCGGTGCTGGAGAGAAAGGCAACAATGCACAAGAGATAAGCATGAGGAAAATAAGATTGGAGGCAAAGACAACCACTTTGCAAACTACGTTACTGCTGGGAGAGACACCTTCTTGTAACTGAAGGCTTGTAATTTGGGAGGAATGACGTGTTTTCTGTGAGTCCAGATGTGCCCAAGTGTTTTGCTGAAGGTCCAGTCTCATGGTTTCCAAGCCTGCTGCTGCTCACAGACACAGCCATCGAATGTCAAACTCAGACCAAGCAACTGTCTGGCCCCCCATCCCGTCTCCTTGGTCAGCTGAAAGAGACTAGCAGTCACTGATGGATCTAACTCCTATAAATTAATTAAAGACATTTTTAATCTAACCCCCTTCATATTTTTCACCTTTGCCATACCTCTGGCAATAAATCCCAGTTTGGGTAAATGTTTCACTAATCACCTCAAGCTTTGATCTATGCCTCTGAAGTTGCACACTGCTTCCCCAGGCACTGGAACCAGAAGTCGGTGTTGGAGCTGCTCTGTTTTACTGGAATCGTGAATAAAGCCTTTCTCAGACGTGTTTGGGTACACTCCATTCCAATATATAAATGTAAACGAAGAGGCCCGTATTCAGATTCTACAATAACAACAAATGTTAATTGAGCAGTAATAGCTATCAAAACCAATATTCAGTGTGATCATGCCTTGTGCTTGCCTCAGGGCATACCACAATCATAATTAGTAATGTTATTTAATAACTATAATAGGGTGAATGCAGCTTATAAATTCATGGACAAGGTTAATAAATGGGATGTGATTATTAGGTAGGTACAGCTGAAAAATTTATGTAGCATTTTAAGAGCTTCCCTAGAGGGAAGATCTGCTTGTCTCCTTTAGTGAGCAACAGGAATCAAAAGTAAATAGAGGTGAGAGACAGCTTTTTCTCCTTTTTCACATGCCCTTCCTCTAAACTTTTTTTTTTTTTTTTTTATACCAGAATTAAAATGCCTTTGTAGCAAGGACTTTTGAAAGAAACTCTATATGATACAGAGCGTAAGCTTTTCAGGGACTTACTATTATTATTATTATTTTCTTATTGGTCATGGAGTCCTCCACCTCAGTAATCCATGTACAAAAGGCTGCTTCCTGCCTTGACAGGTTTACAGTCTAGGTAATTCAGTGTAAAAGAAATAATGAGCCACGATTGTGGTAATGATTTGTCTTCTAAAAGGTAAAGCCTCTGGTGTTGCTGATCATTCTGACAAGCTCTCCAGCTTGCACAGTCCTACCACGACGTGTAAATGGTATTTTTCTAAGCAGAAAGAAAGTCTCTGCTGTCATTCTTGAGCAGGTACAAACAAGCCAGGGCTTACTCTCAGTATCATTTACTGTGACTTAATATACTGTTGAGCATTTGAACTGTTCTAAGTAGCACAGCTGCAAGGTCTTTCTATTTACTGCAAAGTTAAATGCATTAGTTTAAAACCATCTTAACCTTCCAGTACTTAAAGGGAGCCTGTAGAAAAGATGAGGAGGCACTCTTTATCAGGGAGCGCAGTGATAGGATGAGGGGTAATGGTTTTAAACTGAAAGAGGGTAGATTTAGATCAGATGTAAGGCAGAAATTCTTCCCTGTGCGGGGGGTGAGGCGCTGGCCCAGGCTGCCCAGAGCAGCTGTGGGTGCCCCCTCCCTGGAAGGGTTCAAGGCCAGGTTGGACGGGGCTGGGAGCCCCCTGGGCTGGGGGAAGGGGGCCCTGCCCATGGCAGGGGGGTGGGAACTAGATGATCTTTCCAACCCAAAGCATTCTATGAGATTCTGATTCTATGATCTCTGAGGTGAGATGGGCTAACAGCAGGCACCTGCACACATACGATGTTTCACCTGTCAAGCAGTACCTTGCAAAACCAAGTAACTTGGCTGCTTTCAACAGCATGCACTTAATCCACAAGGGAAGAGGGTTAAGTGAAGGGCACTGACAGAGAAGCTTTGGCTGAGCTTTCGGTGCAGGGACTGAAGACTGTGTGGTGCTACTGCCCCCAGAGCAGAAAGACAGACACCTTACTCACTCCACTGCTACATCAGTCAGTGCCCATAGAGTGGTTCACACTTATTTACCAGGGTAATGGGACAGAACAAAAATGTGAAGGTAGGTTGTTGGGGTTTTTTACCTAGTGCAGCAAGATAAGCCCGTCAGTGTCCATATAATTATATTATCCAAATTATATTTGGAATAAGTCTAATACATATGCATGCATATACATATACATACCATACACACCATCAGCTCTTGTGCAGTAACATGCCTGGCAGCATTAACTTGAGGGGTGTAAGTGTTGTGTCTATTGGAACTTGAATGTCCAGTTTGAACCCAGCTGTGAACATCATCACAGTGAAGTTACAAAAGAAATGAAGAATGATGAAGCAACACCGAGGTTTTTAAAAAGTAACTGAAAATGTAAGGATTTTTATTGTCAAGGACTGCAGGCTGCAGCAGAATAGTATTTCTGAAGAAGTAGGAGAGTTAGAAGAAATAATTTTTTGGTCAGTGGTTACAGTCAGTAAAATACTCAGAACCAAGCTCTTCTCTGAGAAATACCATTCACAGGTAAAATAACATTTTTTAAAAAGTCAGTTCTCCCAGAGGACAAGGGAAGTTCTCATTTGGTCACAGCACCACAAAATGAAAAGCAGATAAACAATCTGAAAACCAGATACCAGAATAACTTGGTAAATGGTTATATTAGGCAAAAGTAGCAGCATATGCTGTACAAGACTGAAAAATGCATGGTTTGAAAATCCGTATATGCAGCACAGCTAGGGACGAAGCACAGCGTGAGTGAGCACTGACCTCTAGTGGGCATGGAAGTCTAGAAGTGGCAAAGATTATTGAATTCAAAATACAAAATATGTCATGTGGACAGTGGTCCCAAGGCTTCTGCTTGGCAGCTCTGCAAGCTACAGTCAGCATAGTTTTGCTATGAGGAGGCTCTCACTGTCTATGTGTCAGGAACTATCATGTCTATTGTAACATCTACAGGCAAGTTTTTTACAGCCAAAAGAAAACAGTGCACACTTAGAATTTACTTAGTGAGACACATAAGTCAACTATTGGTCAGTTAAATTAACTGAGGCTAAATTGACTGCCTTTTTTAGATACATATTTAATAACTGGGCACTTCTCAGACTGTCTCAGTGGACATTACCAGTGTAACAATAGTTTAAAAAATCCTACGGAAACATGAACATACATTTCATAGTAAGAGTTTTAGTCCCAATTTTTCTCCAGTCAAAAAATACAGAATGGCGAGGGTTCATGTATTTTCAATGTTTGTCCCAAAGAAGTTTGCTTGCTTTTCACTTTCAAGTTACTTTCCATAGGAGAAGTCTTGTCAGTGTTTTGGAGCTCTTCTTTAAACTAATCCAAAGAAGAAAAACAATACCAGGCACATAATTCTGTAAGGCTAACCTTCAGCTGAAACTGCCAAAGTTGGGTGTTCTCAAACAGTTAATGTACAATACAGATTTCTCTTCCTATATCAGTAATGTCATACTTCACTCAGAAGTCTCATCCAGAAGCTAATGAAGACTGTTTTACTGTGTTTTTGCCACCTTAAGACAGTGAGGTTTCTGGGAAATAACTGTTTAAGGCTCCAAAAAACTGGAGCATGCATCTTGTCTTGCAGAAGGTCTTTGTCACTGGTGTGGGTTGTCGTTGTTGCCTTTGCACCCTGTCTTACACACCCTAGACATTTATTCTTGCCTCAGAATGGCAGGGAAGGGAAGAAGCAGGAGAATCTCAAGACCTGTGAATTCTCTATTGCAAATCTGTGAAAGGAAGGATGAAGAACTTCTACAAGAAGAGCAGGATGCCAGACAATGCACCAGACTTGTTGTCTAAATACTATTCAAGACTAAGAAATACTATCTCAGTCTTTGATTGATATGAAGCCAATCTGTGTCCCAAAGTTAGCGCCGTCACGAAAGTGAGAGTAAAACTTATCAGGGTGGCATGCAGTACAGAAAGTGACGTTTTGGTTCTGGTCTGTGACAGAATCATCTTGGATGTTCTCAGGAAGAATCCCACCACTCTCAAGAAGAATCCTTAAAGAAAGGAAGAGAAACAGAAAATAATATTTTTGTACATCCACACATTGCTTAATACCCTATCATTCAGAGAGCACCTCAGGTACCAATTGAACAAACTGTGCCAATATTGTGATTGGGACTTTGACGTGCTTTTCTTTTTAATTTCTTCCATTATTAGACTAGAATAAGTGCTTTTCTGCAACCAGTAAAACCACATTTAATTTCAACAATTGTCTATAATCTATAAATTAACAGTATAACAGTAAAATAGTAGTTGAAACCTAGCAAAAGTGAGCAGATAGCATTCCTTTAAAAGTATCATTTGTTGATCTGCAAAGTACTAGAGAGTACTTTAAGATGGTGAAGACCCTCGCCATAATAGTGTTGGATAATATAATATCAAAATAATTATTGATAGCTAATGTGGAATTAGTCTTTTGTTCACTAAGTAGGCTTACCGTGTTGCTCTTCTAATATCAATATAAGGACATGCAGAGTCAAATAGTCTCACACACTTTGGATCAATTCGGTGAAATTCTTTTGCTGATTCGTGAGGAAGTTTATAACAGCAAGGTCCTACAGATGGGCCCAGCACCACAAGGATATCTTGCACATTACAGCCATATTCAGATACCATAGCATTTACTGTGGCCATAGAAACTCCTAACAATGTGCCTTTCCATCCTATGAGAAATGAGAGGTCGAAAAAAAAATTGTATAAATTATCTCTTTACTTTTGTAGTAGCTAAAATACATGATATTATTAAAGGTATAAATAAATAGATATATTTACATCTAAAATAAATAATTATTTCTAGTAATAAATAGTTATTTTTTTAAAACTCCAACACATTAACAACTAGCAGTTTGCTGATACAATTTTGTGGAGATGGAAACTAGAGAGAAGAGTTTAGATTAGGATTCCAGAATTCCTCTTTCCCAGTGTCCTGGCTTAGGCAACGAGGGCATATATCTTACAGCTCCTTTGTGCTTGAAACATTTAAACAGGAATATGACAACAGAATATGTTACAGTCAGAAGCATATTTTTATAATATGGTGAAAATGGGTTTTATGTTATTTTAGAAAAAAAAAAAAAAAAAGTTCAAGCTACATACATTGTTTGGAATAGATAGAAGAAAGCCCAGGTTTGAGCTCTCCTATCCCAGTTTGAGTCCCAGGAAGTCTTTGCACTGCACAGGAAGTGGGTTATAATGAAGAATAGGATATGCTAATAACTCTTCCTCTGCTTTTCTACATCCAAAGACTGAGATGACCTTATACACAACTGTCTTTATTTGTATACACAGCAACATCTGTTCAAGTTAAACATGAACTGAGGTGAGGTTGGACAGGAAGGAAAGGACTTAGGAAAAGATAATTGGAAGCCTGGCGAGAAATGGGATGTGGGAATGAAGGCCAAAACTTGGGAGATGGAAGGCAGGAGTTCAGGCTAGATCTGGGCTGTATGCTTGGAAAAGGCAGTGGTATGTGTTGGGACAACAGTGTGGTGTATCAGGGACTAGGTAAATGAAGAGGCAGCAGAGAAAGGAGCAACTACAGATTTGAAAATTTTTACAGTAATTAGGTTTGAACACTTATAATGTAAAACTCTTAAAACTTTCAAGAGTAAATAAAATTCTCTCCATCCCTTCTCCCCATTAAAACCCACAACGTTCCCCTCTCCTCCCAGACAGACATGACACAATTCTCACTTTCTCTAATCTAAGCATGCTAGGCATGGGGCGGGACACCACCACCCCACGCCCCACTCCCCCGCTTTATTGAAGGAAAGTCAAAGTTTTGATCATTTTATAATGACTCAGAAATTTTAAATTATTTTGGCTAATTTATTGAATGCATTAAGAATTGTATGAATTAGGTGGTATTCACAAGTTCCAAGCAGAGGTGAAGTTTCTTACCATATGAAGGGGTGTACTAGCATCAAAGCTGAGTAGAAACTCTCAGCTGTGCATTCTCTTTGACCTCATAAATACAGACTTTTCTTATAAAATGAAACAGCCCCAGCAGGGAAGTCTCACCACAGGATACGTATTCTAGACCAACAGTTGGGACATCTTCTGAAGTCAGATGTAACCTCTGGTTGTATTAACCATCCCTGTTTCAGTTTTATGCTCATTTGGTTTGGGTCAGATAAATATTTCTTCTGATCCAAAATGATTGTTGGGAGCACTGGCTTTATAGCCACAGGGCACAGAAAAAAATACTTGGTTTTGGCTACCAGATCAGAAAACTAAATGTATAAATACATAAATAATAATTATTACAGCTATAAAATTTAAAAACTCCACCCACATAGCTTGCAAAGCAAACTGTTCTCAAGACTAATCTTGTTTTGACAGGATAGAGGCTTAACAGGTCAGGGTCTACATTGTTATGTGATCGTGCATTTATTCATTCTCACTCAGTGCTCCTTTGCTAACTTGCAATCCTTAGTCCAAAACTCCATTTCCAGTGGTCTCCTAGTTATTTTGATCTCCATGACTTAAAATTCCTACCAGAATGAGCAGCACCGCAGGCTTTTCTGACAGGATCAGCAAACAGCACGGGTATGCAATCAGCCCCTGGAGCTGCTATCGTGACACCCTTCTGATTCGTAACTATTCCATCGTAGCTGTCAGGTTCAGTCTTTCCCATAATACATACAGCATTAGCGTGATCAATCTGTCAAGACAAAATCAGAACATGGACAGTCATAAAGTGGCAGAAAAACCCTGTTCTGACCAATGCAAGGATTTTAGTTTGGCATGAAACACTCTTTTGCACCGACTGATTATGCGTGAAAATCAGGTACTCCCTTGTTCAAATGTCATGCAAATGTTTCAGTAGAAAGCCACCATAGAAGTGATGGTGTATTTTTCCTGTAAGAGAAACTGCTCTGATCATTTATCTGATTATTCTAATCTGTGGTAAATTAAATGTTAGAATACACTTGGAAGAAACAGTACTTCTCCATGTAGTGCCAAATGGCTGATAGTTTGGACAGCTATTCCCACAGATAAACTGCAAGCACAAATGTTTTAATCGTCCTGCTTCTCACAAGTCCTTGCTGAGAAAAATAAGCATAATGCCGACAGTTTTAGCCAGTGATACATGAAGGAAGAACTGATCCATTTACATTAATCCATTGTTTGATAAGATACCTTGACCCTGTGAAAAGTCTCCGGGTTAAATCCTGCAGCATTTGCTAGCCGGCGGAGATTTTCGTTAACAACAATTTGTGGGTCCCTCCGCTTGGAACTGCTGAAGAGATTGCAGGAGCTTAGAGTTGGTATGTAAGAGATGCCACCTGTCCGTGTGGTGAAGCCATGTAGGAAGATATCATCTGGCAAGGCAAAAAAGGCAACAAACAATTGCTTTTAACACAAGACCAGTCCAGATACAACATGGTTTTATACTGAAGAGACCTGAAATCTGACAAACGAGTATTGCTTTATCCTGTATTTAGCTGTGGCACTTAAATTTAAGGATTCTATTTTTCCTTCTTGCTCATAATCATAATTCTCTGAGGCCAAGGTAGAGGGGTTTGAGCAAGAAGGAGTCCTGGCAGATTTAGTCTGACTTTTTGCAGAGTTGTTGTGCAAACCCTAGAGAAGAGGTAACTCACTGAGGAAAATGAGAGTAGATTTTTAAGCAAATGTTCTAAGGTGGCACCTCCCAAGCTTTTTTGGCAAATGAAGCACTAGTCCTCAAGACTTCCCAGAATCAAAACCACCTTTATAAAGTATACTGAAAGCACTCAGAATTTCTAGTGTTACTGAAAAATCCTCTGTTTCTACATTACAGATCATTGATTGTGGCCTTATGCAATCACTGCTTTTGGGGGTGGTGGGGGGAGGGGAGTCTGCATGGCAAAGTGGAACACAGAAACATAGTCCCAACAACTGGTATTTTTGCTGTCTTAATAGCTGAGAAGCTTAGTGACGTAATCGAAGTTGAGATTCCAAATCTCTCTTAATGTAGTGTGATCCTTTCAAAGACACCATCAAAAACTTGAGGCACAACGAAGGCAAAGATGCCTTTAAGTAACTCATGTTCCTTTCAGGCTTTGGATCATTTCAGACATATTTTTAGGGAAAGACAGTTCTGTATTTTTGCAGTAGCAAACCTTTCATCTTTCCCCTGAATCATGAGACCCCATAATCTCACCGCTTGAGACACATGCTGCAGTAAACTGGGTTATGCCACGGCAGAGACACTGAGACATCAGTCGGATTAACCAGGCATGCGTGAGGCTGCAGAGCAGAAGAAACTCCTGTCCTGCCTTGATGGCCACTCTCAAAGTGTGTAATTCCCACACAGAAGGGAGGAGATTTCACAGTCTGCAGTAATGCTCTCACTAAACCTGGGCCTCTCTTTGATCATGCCTCAGGCCTGGAACAGACTTGCCAGTCTTTTTACTGTATTTTTATTGACACTTCACCGTCTGTCTTATAGACATGATACACTATTGCAACATCAGATAGAGTTATTTGCTGCCTCAAGACATTTCCAAATCTTACCCATTTTGCAACTCCCTTGAAGAAGTATGCTTGGGAACAGTTTCTGTAAAATCCAGTAGCTGGCTTTCTCTTTACCTGGAATCAGGGAAGATCTGAGGATGGTGAGCTCCCCTTTCAGGCTTGGCAGGCTTTCCAGGTACATCTGAATCTCACTTCGGATGAGTGCCACATCCTGGGTAGGAAGCGTTTGCGCCTCATGCCGAGGTTCAGCTATCTGTAGGTTTTTACAATCAGATGACACCTGTAAATCCTCAAATTCAAACTGGTAGACTGCTGTAAAGAGATGGTCTATATATACTTTCATTAATTCTTTTCTTAAGGTAGGGAGAATAACTTTAATGACGCTTAGGTCTTTTTCATCCAGTCTTTGTTTGATGGTGTACAGAGCAGCAGCTGTAGTCAAAGCACATACCACCTCCAGTCTTTTCTTCAGACTCTGAAAATCTCTCAGAGCTGGAAGTAAGGACTCTTGTTCACCATTCCCCTGCCTCTGGCAACACATGACATAAACGAATGGAGCAGGGATGGAAGAGCATTTCTCAATCGTTTCCATCATGTTACAGAGTAATCCTCGGATGTTGTTCTGCAAATCAGCTGGTAGGCTGAACAGATCTATCAGCACTGCTTCCACCATATTTCAGGATATTTAAAGATTCCTACAACTGTCAAGTAGTCAGCAACAAAACATGAAAAACAAACAAAAAGGCAAGGCAGCATCATTAGTCCAAACACAGAATTATGTTATTAAGGCAATGCATTCAGTGATACTGCATGGAGAAGGTGACGTAGCAGTAATTAGCCTTAGGATTTCCTCACTGCATCAAAAGAAATTGCAGCAAAAGAAAAGGAGCGGAAATGGGAATTATTAGCTATCTATTTAAGTACTTAGGTATTTTCCTACCACCCCGCCTACCTCAGGTTTTTCCCAGGTCAGGGATGATAAAAGGTTAGTACACAACATTAGCCTTACTGAATCAATTAACCCACATTAGCCTAATGGATCTTCTTGGTCTCTGACTGGAGACCAAGAGCTGGTCCTCCTCCAGCTCCCACGAGGGGAACCAAGTGCAGAGGTCGCTCACCTTGCTGGGACTGGAGGAGTTTCTCTAACACTTTTTTTTGGAGGCATTTTACACACTTATTGCTGAAGTGGAGCTCCTGTCTGCTCCCTCTCCTGGCAGCAGGGCTGCTGGGCTGGGAGCACAGTGACATCTTTCCCACAGGCCTTCACAAGACTTTTTGCACTTCTCCTTTTTGGGTTACCAAAAGTACTGTCTTGCTAATTTCTGACTTCTCTGTGGAGGGGCACACGAGCGGTATAGTCCTTTACAACATACACAGGAACTCAGCACAGGTTACTGAAACTTTACCTAGTAACACAAGAAGTGCACAGGACTAAATGAAAATAGTAGAACACTGTGCACAACTTCCTGCCTCAGCTTTTTCACCATTCTAGCTGCACTATTTGCTCTGAAACCACTGCACCTTAAGCTTATCTCAAATCATCCTGTAGTTCACAGCTTGTCTTGTGGCCCATGGTGTAATTCCAGTTTTGGTGTGGGTTTTTTTTAAACTTTTCTGGACTTTGTTGATCCAAGCCCAGTTAGGCTGCCAACCTGTGGAAAGTTGTCCGTCTGTCTCTTTCTCTCTGCTGCTAAGAGAACCTATTTTACATATCATCCAGGAAGCGTCTTATTTTCTTTTCTCTGTCTCTGATAATTTTTCAGTTTCCAGTGCAAGCCTCCAGAGGTCTGGAACAAAAGACTAGATCCCTTTGCTTTGGGAACCTTGAACAGACTAGCTGCTCAGATTTCATGACTAAGCACTGTGCTTGATCTAGGAGGAATACATGCAGCTTTATCACCAGTTGTAAGACCCCATAATCATTTAGAGAATCCCTTAACAACAACTTTTTTTTTTTGCATAGTAACAAATAGTGCACGAATATTAATTCCTTTTCAGGAAAAACTAGTATATTTGCAAGAACAAAGAACGTGATAATCTTTTAGGTCTTCGAAATCGGTGCTCTGCTACCAGAACTAACCATATCAGATAATGCCTGGCACTATTTTCCTGCCCGAAGTCCTCACTCTCCCATAACTACATGCATGCTCTGGCTTCACAGCACTTCATTATCCTGCAAAAATATGGTTTCTGTGTGTACTTGAGGCCCACCACTATGGTGGACTTGATGTCCTCCTTAGCATTATATGGTTGACAATGGATTCCCAGAGTATCTACAAATGAGAGGTCAAAGACCTTTCTGATTTTAATGGATTGTTTATTCAGAGCAGGTTTTGCAGAAAACATGCTGCATTTTCTTCGTTGTTCTTTCCCCCAGACTGGAAGAAAAATAATCCTGACTGAAAATGATGTTTTCCTTTCTGCAAATTGAACGCTTACAAAAATTAATTAGTGGCTATCAAAACAGATGAACTAAAAGTATCAAAATGTGACAGCAGATAAAAGCATCTACCAAGGAATTTGACTCCTGATTTTGCTCAGAGTATTATTTACACACAGCTGGGAACAGATTTTAGAGAAAACAGCTTGCTAAGAAAACAGTGTCAAAACAGGCTCATGTCAAAGGCCATGACTTGGGAAATCAGGATATTTTCTTCCCTACCCTGACATTCTCTGTGGGAGGCCTGTAAGAAGATGACATGACCCCAATCTAGGTATAGCAAATAGCCCCAGCAAAGACAGTGCAACAGAGGAGTGTAGTGAAAAAACAGATTATTGCTCCACTTCAGATATGCCAGTAGTGGAAGGTAAGTAGAGCTCATTGCTGTCTTTGTACTTCCCCACAAAAACACCACCAAATATAAGGTAGAAGGAAAGTGTTTGTGGAGGGAGAGGTAATTGCCTACATTGTTAAGTTGTGCGAGTATTGCAAAAAGTTCGCAGGGGCAATTATTGGGATGTACACAAAGAAACAATGGGGCTGATTCACCCTCGTATCCTTCCAGTTTTGCATCACAGAGTCCTACTGAGGTCAGTGGTGTCAGAAGTAAATTTCTTACAGTGATAAGAAAATTTTTTGACTGCTTTCTAAGTCCCCCAAACAAAACCCTTCTCAAAATACCGGCTTGCCAAGCACAGCAATGTTTTAGCTTATAAGAAATGCATTCATGGTTACTCAGGTTTTAAGTAACATGCTCTACAGTTCCAGTGTTCCATAGTAAATCTCAACTGCATGTAACTGCATCAGGAAAGATTAAGTGCATTTACTAGGGAGTTGCTCATTTCAGTACACAATGCAAGGCAAATATTTGCACAAACCTGAAGCCAAGGTCACCCATGAGCTGTTTCACTCACTCTCTGAAACTCTGTCAGTACAAACATTTGGAGGGTAAAAAGATTCTCTTGCATAGACATCAAGAAAATCAAAGAAAATGATAGACAACAAGCAGAGAGGAGAAGTGAGGAAGTTAACAAGAGTGAAAAAGAGAAAGGCAAAGCAAATACAAAAAAAACACCCAAAACAATTAAAGAAAGAAAACTGGGCTGAAGAGAAGAGACAGCCCAGGGTAAAAAAAAGATCCAGAAAGCTACTTTCAAAAACCCCAGAAATCTAATTCTAAAAGCTCACTGTTTGTCAAGACAAGATTGTTGGCAATTTCCTGCATCTCTGAATCCTACCGGTCACCTTATCTTCTTACAGAAACTCACAGGACTAACATAATTTTGGGAAAATTAAAAAGGAAAGAAGTATTTAGCATCTGTCAGGGAGAGAGACCCAGCTAAAGAGAACATGTCATTAAAGCAGCCCAAATGAACAGGGGTAAGAGCACATTTGCAATGAAATTTCAACAACAGCAAAGATCAAAAAATGGGAAAAAAACCCCCCAAAAACATAAAGACATCTTAAATGGTATTAAAATAAATCATTCTGCCTCTCTTAACCTAGGGGTATTTAGGCAAGGTTGAAGAAACAGAAATCAGCACTTACAATGAAAATGATGTAGTCCATGCAGTTTTCATAAACTCAAAGGAATTTACTTACACAGGTGGACAAATCTTCCAAACTCCTGAACGGTATCAGCTGATATAAACACACATTACCAGCTTTATATATCTCACTTCTTACTGTCAGTCTTGCAACTGATTTGTACAAGACGGAAAGTCCTGTTCTAGGTAAGATTTTTGTGGGAACCTGTATTTCTTCTTTATGATGAGACCCTGCTTTGTTGCTGTCAGTATCCCCAGGAAATAACAAACTGTACTGAAAGTTACCAAGATGATTAAGTGCCCGGGTAGAGTTAAACCCGGAAGCAGCATTAACCCTGCCATGTAACGCGCTGCTGTAATCATATGTTCTAAGGCATCAGCTTTGCACAATCTGAGATACAGAAATGTACAGCATAGCAAAACAGAACAAAACCACAAAGGAGTTTAAGGAAAATTCGTGCAGACTGAGTGAGTTTCCTTTTCTGAGCTGTAACTGCATGTTCCAGTGAAGAATTTGGCAGTCAGTCAAGAAAAAGTATATTCAGAAGGCCCCAGATAGAGAGGTTATGAGAGGCCAGACTTCAGGGCCACAGGCCCGAAAGGACGGTGCTGATTTCTCCTCAGAGCAGTCAGAAATTTTGCAGAGCTCTGTGAAAAAGTCTGAATGTTTTGTCGGGAAAATGTAAAGGTCAAAAGGCAAGTGGGGGAATGAGGGATTCATATCAGGTTTTGTCCGAGAATCAAATGATAATAAATACGTTTTCTCAGCTGTGCTAAAATCATGGTCATGACAGATGAGTATATGACAGCTAAAGGAGAAGAAAAAAAATGAAAGTAATTTTTTCACAGAGGAATTCATAAGATCTGATTTCCTGTGAATTGCTGTCCTATGTCCCCTGTTCCTACCTTACCTGCGGCTGCAGCAAACCCACATTTCTGCCAGGTCCAGAACACCCCTTGGGACTCCCCCACCATTTCCCCTCCTGCTTTTCCTTCCAGCATATGCTGGGCAGAGGGCTGAGCGCTGAATCCTCTTGGCTCTCCCTCCCAAAGGGAACTGTTGGGGCTATGTTGTCTTTCCTCCACCGAGACACCAATTTTCACAAAGTTTGCAAAAAGCGGTTATCTCTGAGGCTTTCACTGTCGAATGCGTCTGAACCAGATCATTAAAAATTAACAGGGGGATTTGATGGAGGGACACCAATGCAACCATTTTTTTTCCTTCAACCAGACTCAGAAAGCAAAAATAATTACCGGGGTTATTTTTGGTGCAGAGTGCTGAGAAAGGTTAAAGAAAAGGTCATAAAATACCCAGGATACAAAACAATATTGAAAAATTACAAATTATGTTTTGGGCTGAAGTATTAGATTCAGGTTCTGCCATTTCAAAAAAAGGGATGGAATAAACAGATCATATGCAGAGCTATTGGATTATATGTAATTTATAATTAATTATGAAAATCGTGGGATTTAGGGTTAAAATTCCTTAACCCGGAGTTCAGAGGAACATTAGCTGGCATGAGATCGGTCCGTGGTTATAAAACAGGGAGTTTGGAGTGGAGATCAGGAGAAACCAGGCCACGTTTCCTTGTAACCCGACGCTGCCCAGCAAAACTTACGTCCTCTGCAGCGTATAAAAAACACCAAGAAATTACGACAGAAAATGCGGTTTAATACGATGAATTAGGTAACTCGGCGAACTCCGAGGCGAAGAGAAGCTCAGCGAAATCGCCCGAGCCACCGGGCCGCGCCACGCTGCGCAACCGCCGTGCCCCCCCCCCCCCCGAGCGCAGAGCACCCACCCCATTTCTGACAGGATGAGCCGTTCCCTCCCTCCCTCCCTCCCCCCCTGCCCCGGCCCCCCGCGCCCGTTAACGGCCGCGTTCCCCGAGCCCGCCGCTCGCCTTCCCTCTCCGACGCTCCCTCAGCGCCGCCCCCCCCCCTCCTTGGCCGACGCTCCCCGGCCGGTGGTTTGGGCGGGAAGGGGGGCGGCCGTTGCGGCGCCCGCCCTGAGGGGCTGCGAGGGGGCGGGTGAGGGAGGGGATGGCCGGCGCTTGCTCGCCCTCCTCGGTGACGAAAAGCGGCGGTGTGACAGGGTGCTCCGTTCGCCTTGCAGTGCCTTTGGAGGGTTTGGGGCTGCGGTGGGGGCGAGGGCAGGCCTGCTTGGTGCTGGGGGCTGTGGAGTGCTTGGGAGGGAGGGATGGAGGGGGGAGGTGAGGGGTGACAGGACGACCTATTGCAACATCCCTAAGCATAAAATGATAGATGCGGTTTCTCCGGCAAGACTACCAGCCTTCTAGCGGAGTGTGGGTCATCTGAGTGCCGTTTAACGTATCGGACCTGAAGATGCATTTGTGCCAGACACGCTGCGTTTTCATAAGAGTTTGATTTTGCTTTATGTAGCAATACAGATTTTCTTCGTTTAACTTACTCTATCAGAAGTGATACAAATATAGAACTAAATATTTTCTAATCACTGGGGGGGACACCTTTACAGGTGTCCTAGTTTGTGACTTTTGATATGACAGCTTTCTCAACACTGTTTATCTTACATGAAGCATAGTTTAATGGTTAATACGGTAGGCAGTTGCAGTATAGTAACTAAAATAACGCAAATGTTAAGGCTAAATATGAGTGCATGCTCTCATGCATCTAAGATGCTTGTAAGAGCTATGACCATATTCATAAACTGAGGATCTGACCTGTGGAGAAACTAGAAGAACATTGCAATACTTTATTTTATAAAACTCTGCATGAAAGGTTTCTGATTCTTGATCATTTGCTTTTGCGCATCCAACCATTAGTAACCTGTTCTTGCTAATAAAAGAATCCAAATGAAATAATATGTTGATCTGGGATCCAATTGGAAAGTCCTAAATATTGTTCTCGTTCATTAACAGTTAGGAATTAACTAGAATGGTGTTAACACAATTAACTTACTTTTTATGTCCTTATAGTTCTGCACTTTTGCCTAAAATGGCCAAGCAAAATTCTCCATCACTAATCGAAGTTGTAAAACAAGTTGCAGAGCAGCAGCATTCACAAGCATCAGAGATAGAAAAAACCAAAACTGTTCTTTTCCAATTGCAGGTAATAAGCCTTGCTTGGAGTTCTTTAATTAATTTTTTTTTTTTTTTCATTTGATGAGGAAATATTCCTATGAACAAGAGAAACTGATAATACTTAACTTTTTCTGGGTGTTTTAATTTCAGTGTAAGGCAGCTGTTCTGTTCCTATGTGTGGCATTTAAGCTTAGCCAAAACTCTGTGTGTGTGTTATTTGTAAGGTTGCAACACAGCTGAGACTTAATTAGAGCAGGTTATAGCAGAAGCTTTTATTTTTTATTTATCTTTAAGACAATTTTTTCTGTGAGTTTGAAGTGGGTGTCCTAAATAGTCATTAAATACTGGTTTTATTTAGTAATATTTTGTAGAACACTGGATGCATGTAGCTTTTGTGAAGACTGTGTAATCATTTCTGAACTAATCTCTTACAGAAATTATTAAGCTTTCAAATATTTAACCTTTGAGATCAAATTTTTATCAAGAGAGTTACATTTAAGTCTGAGGAAAGACGCATCAGCATTCAGGCATTTTTTAGCATAGGAGAATGCAAACAGAAATAATAGAGTTCCAATTATAATGTGTTAATAGCCCTACAACTGAAATAATTGAAGTTTAAAACTTTGTACAAAGGTAACTTTTCTGAAGGAGCAGTGAAAACTTTGATTGCTTAATAATGTCAAATGACTGGCCACACCTTACAAGAACCTGTCTCCTAATTATATGCCATCTCAAAAATAGTATGATGATGATGCAACAATTAATGTGATCAAACAATTTAAACAAGGATATCTGTTTTCAAAAAAAAAAAAAAAAAAACACAAAACCAAAAACAAAACACCCCACAAAACTTTACAGCCCTAGGTAATTAAGTTAGCTTATTTATTTTCTTCCTCTTCCAAACTTCTGTTTTATTTCAAAAAAGCCAAAACCCTAGGAAACTCAATACAAGCATTAATTCTAGCTGAACCATAAAGTTAAGAAGTTACAGTGAGAATGCAGAACTGCTTTTTCCATCTTTACTTCTGTTCCCATGTGTGCATGTCACAAAAGACACAAAAAACAATTCCCTTTCCAAAATTGAAGATCTTTGCCATTAAGATCTTTTGCTTTCCTGTCCTTAGTAAATGGTGGCTGGCAGTGATAGAAATTCTGCTAAAACTGTAGCCCCAAATTTCCACATTAGAAGTTACACAGAAACTTTTTGTTCTTAACAGTTAATCATGTCTTAATTCGTTCAAGACATTGAGTAAGAGATTTCATAGCACTCGTAATGCTTCCATTAGGGAAAAGATAATAGGTGACATAAATCACGATGCTAATTCCCCCAATGCACTACTGTTGGCTGTTACTTTGGGTGGGATTCATTATAGCTAGCTTACATCACCAGCAAGTCAGATGTTAAGCCTGTATTAGTCATCTAGGCTCCCTCAGTAGTCGTGAAAGAGAAATAAACATTTCTGAGGCAGCAATTCAGCCCTCCCATCTTAGATTTATGTGTAGACATGGTGCTTAGGGACATGGTTTAGCGGTGGACTTGGCAGTGTTGGGTTTATGGTTGGACTTGATGATCTTAAAGGTCTTTTCCAACCTAAATGATTCTATGATTCCTTATGATGGGTTGAAGTACTAATTCCTGGAGTTCACTTCTCATCAGTGAGAAGATGTAGAGGCCTTTTTAGGACTAGAGGCATATTTCTCAGGGGGTTAAAAGTAGCTGAGCTGAGTTCTACTCTCAATTACTACTGTAATGAAGGTGGGATTAAAAACTTCAGTAGAGCAGACTAGTTAAGGTCCATCACCCCAAATGCCTATCTATGTGTTTGTAAGTGATTTTTGGCATCATTAGTTATTTTTAGTCTGACTAGTACTTAATGAGATTTCAGCTCTAAACAAACATTAGTATTGGGTTTGGTCTGTCATCCTATGTATCTGGCAAGTATGAGGAATTTAAAGTGATTTCAAGGATACTTTATTTCATATTTTAGACTCAATCTAAGGGGAAAAGTCTAAGATAGTATTCTTGCATTGTGCCTCTAAAGTGATGATTTTAGGAAATGAAACTAATTATCTTCCATTCAAACCACATTAAACGAGAAAAAGAAGACTTTTGAATAAATATAAATCACAGTGTTTAACTAGATACCTGTTCTAGTTAAAATGTTCTTAAGTGAACACTGAAATATTTTACAGGCGAAGTTTCAGGAATTAGAAAAGGAAATGGATTCTATTCTGTTAGAAACCAAGAAGACAGAAAGGGAAATATATCTGCAAGATGATGCCATAGAAGTGACAAAATATCACTGTGAAAATCTAGAGGCCCAAGTCAGAGCCCTATATTATGAAAATTTAAAGCTGAGGCATGACGCAGAAACAGTACAAGAAGAGTTTGAGATGACATTTGCAAGAAATAATGAATATCGGGAAAAAATAAGGGCTCATAAACGTCTCTTTTGGGAGATGGAAAGTAAAATGCCAGTAATGATTGAGCTTGCTAAAAAGAAAGCTGTCGTTAAAGAATTAAAGAAAAAGAAAGAGGAGTTAATGCATGATCTCCAGAATCCAGAAGGATCTGTTATAAAACAAATGCAGGTACTATATTTCCTCTTTAATTATTTTCTTTCTGTGTGAAATAATTTTGGCACAGTTTAGCTAATATGATTATTTTGTCTAATATGTTTACCGTTCATGAGGGACTGACTGTGGGGAAAATAGATAATTTATAATGCTACATTAATTGAAGACATTTTGACTTCAGTATGCAGCAAAAAAAAAAAAAAATCATCCGCCATTACCACCTGTGTATTATTATAAAAGTCAGGTTCATTCAGTGTGATCAAATGAACTCAGCTGTGAAAAAAATTCAAGAGCTGTAAATGAAAGTATATCATCGCCAAAATATTTGTGGGCTTCTTTGGGTTGTTAGATAAACTTACATGAACACTTTCAGAATTCTGTGGGACATTGCCATGTTGTTACATTTTTCATGTAAGAACGCAGTATTCTTTTAACTTTCCTGTCAGGTAACAAACTACAGTTGAGCTGTTTGCCAACAGGAGGTAAATGTGATGAGATGGTGATAGAAAGGAGAGAGGAAAAATATATTTGTTTTGGTATTCTAGTCTAACACTTGCTTTTCTTCGACCCTAATTACAATACTTATTAAAAACTTCCACGTAGGAATTTTTCACTCCAAAACTTCACGAATATATGAACAAATGCAAGTATGAAGATGAAATGGGATCACAGATTTTAACGCTGATGCATCTTGCGTTATTGAAAATCTGATGTTACTCTGTTCACGTAAATTGATGAAAATTTGGTTGTACAAGCAAGCCTTTAAGTCCTGATAAATAAAGATTCATTTAACATTGTATTTCCCTATGAGAAAGAAAAATCCATCTCAAATATTACAATAAATATTCTTTGATTTTGCAATAAATTACATTTTAAGCAAAATTAAGACCACCAAAATTAGTTCAAATTCCTGTATTGTTGTGGTTTTTTGCATATTTCAGTGCAATAGTATATCTTCCTAAGGAACTAAAGCTTGTTATAAATTACTTTAATTAATTTATTTGCAATTCTTAAATTATCAATGCAATTATTATTAATTATTTTAATATGGAATTGTTAATTATAGATCTTTATCTCATATCTTTTAATGAAGCTAGACTGTTAAAATGTGACATTTTTAATAAGTTTAACAGATGTAGTGTGTAACTTTTGAAGGAGGGGATTTCTGTATCTCAACTTACATCTGCAGGAGGAAATTACACTTCTAAAAAGGGAAATCACAACATTGAAAGAGTTCATCAATAAAAAAACAGATTTGCTGGAAGAAGAGAAAAAAATACATGCTAAGCTTAGAAAAGAAATTGAGGTGAGTCATTTGAATAAAATATAATTACAGTTCTGACAGAATGTAGATAGTGCAAATGAAGTTTGAAGTGCTTTATACACCATTGCTGGCCATACATTATTCAAGTATATACAGTAACAGTAAATTCTTGACACTGGTAGTCTTTCTAAAGTTCAGAACCAAATTGCTATCATGAGAAAATTGAAGTTAGGAACATTTTTTCTTAAGTCTTTTAAGAAGGAGTTGAGCTCTGAACTTTTGGAGTGATGTCCTGAAAAGAAAGAGGTCACTGAATGGTAGCAAAGCAAAATGCACAGGTTTTTATTTCTGTAATACTTTTGAAATACTTTAAATTTCATGCTGATTTATTATTCGTGACTTGTCTCATAGTTCCTGATAACTCATCAATGGGAGAATCAGTTGCACCAAGAAAATGGACTTCCCATGAATCTCCCTAATTTGAGCTGACATTAAATTAGGGATAACACAGCGGCTCCTAATTAGCTGCCAAGATAAAATTCTGATAAATAGTTAAAACCTTCTCTTTTTAAATAATTTAACTATATTTTACATTTTGTTCCTTACTAAAATACTTTGTCTAGATAGCTTTTAGTTTGGAAGTTTCACATCATTTATCTATTTAGTTCATATAAATGCCACAAAATTTAATGAGCAAAGCTTGACAGTATAAAGATTAACTGATCTAAGGTTAGCTCTATTGCCCATTGTAAAATGTAGGATGAAAAAGAATAATTTTTCATGTGATAGGGAACAGCAGAGAATTTTTAAACTGAAAAGCAAAACACAGCCACTTTAGAATAGGTCTATATTACTCAGCATCTGAGAAAATATCTTATTATCAAGGCAACATCCTCCTAAGAAGGTTCTCTAAACTCAAAGTGAAATTAGGCAGCCTAAAAATAATGTTCTGTCCTGTTATTGGAATAAACTTAATTAAATAGTGAAGGTTAAGTTGTTCTTCAGTTGTTTGGACTATACAAAATTTTTGTCTCAGAGGGAAGCAGGATGAAAAATGGACTCTTTCAGGGTATAGTTTTCTATTAAGAGCTCTCTGGAAAATAATCCGAATTTTAATATAAAATCTGACAGTGGACAAGCAGAGACATTAACAGGCAGTAGTTCTCAGCACAACTCAGGAAAGAATACTTAAGCCAAGCATGGGAATCGAGTGAGATATTAGATGTGGGTGAAGTTCTATTGAGCTGCAGTGGTAAGATTCAGCCCCTGACTGCCAACAGCTGAATGTGGTTGAATATGGGTGGCTACACCCGAGTCAGATGGGTTCCTGCTGTAATCACTGGAGAGGTAGTCAGTCCAGCTGAGGTATTCTAGAGATCCGTTCAGTTGGCCATTTGTAGGTGTTTACAGCAGGGTGACTGCATCATCTGGTCTTTCTAGACTTTATAGTATGCATTGGCTAGATTTCTATCGATCAAAACAGGAATGTAGACATGTAGATCACACATACACCTCTGAAGTCAGGTGTCTTAATCTGCAGATTTACCCCTTCTCATAGAACTTTTATATATCGCATGGATTCTCAACTTTTAACACTGCATGGGCCAAAAGTAACTGGCCTCTTTATAACTTCAAGAAATTCAACGAGGCCAAGTGCAAAGTCCTGCGCCTTGGTCAGGGCAATCCCCAGTATCAGTACAGACTGGGGCATGAATGGGTTGAGAGCAGCTCTGTAGAGAAGGACTTGGGGATGAAAAATTGGATGTGAGCTGCAATGTGCGCTCGCAGCCCGGAAGGCCAATTTTATCCTGGGCTGAATCAAGAGAATTGTGGCCAGCAGATCGAGGGAGGTGATTCTCCCCCTCTGCTCCACTCTTGTGAGACCCCACCTGCGGTGCTGTGTCCAGCTCTGGGACCCCCAGCATAAGGACACGGACCTGCTCGAGTGTGTCCAGAGGAGGGCCACAAAGATGGTCAGAGGGCTGAGGCACCTCCCCTATGGAGAAAGGCTGAGAGAGTTGGAGTTGTTCAGCCTGGAGAAGAGAAGGCTTCGGGGAGGCAGACTTCTGTCAGCCTTTGAATATATAAAGGAGGCTTTTAAGAAAGACAAAGACCTTTTACCAGGGCTGATAGTGATGGGACAAGGGCCAATGATTTTAATCATTTGACAGAGGGTAGGTCTGGACTGGACATAAGGAAGAATTTTTTTTACAGTGAGGGTGGTGAGACACTTCAACAGCTTGCCCAGAGAAATTGTCATGATTGAAAGTGTTCAAAGCCAGATTGGTCTTTGAGCAACCTCATCAAAGTGAAAGATGTCCCTGCCCATGGCAGGGGAGTTGGACTAGATGATCTTTGAAGGTCCCCTCCAACCCAAACCGTTTTGTGATTCATAAATTTGCAAAGAGCACGTGAGCTCCAGTGTTTCTGAGCCTCCAGATACAAGCAAATCAGTGTCTCATTAATGAGTTTACTATTGCTGTAGGATTTCTGGAGCCTTGTTTGAGCAGTGATTTTAAGCACTCATCTATGTCTGCCCTGACACAGTCCTATATTTAAATGACTACAGAATTCCTGCTGAAGCTTCAATAATGCCTGTGCTGGCACTCAGACAGGATGGACTGATTCTCACAGCCCTGGTGCTCCCACTTTGCCTCAGTATTATTTCTTGTTTCCCTCAGAGATTTCCCCAACTAAGCACATTGTGCAGGACTGCCTTTCTAAAGCAGCTGAATTTTGGAAAGTTAGAAAGTTTCCTTTTTTTGCAAGCAAAGTTGATGATCTGACATTGCTAATTAATAAACCCTACAATTAATTCATAACTGGGATGCTTCTCATCAGACAGGGTACTGATGGATTTTTAAGGCAGCTTGTAGACCTTGTTCCGCTCCCTTTCCTGAGCACCAGCCCCACCACCCACCTCTTGGAGAGCAGGCCCTGTTCCCAGCCTTGGACAGGGATGTCAACAATAAATCAGGGTGGTTACCTGTGTAGGGACAAGGCTTCAGTCATAAAGACTAATTCAAGACATCCACAAATAATAGAAAATAGACTGCTATGTAAAAATAATAAGAAAAAGAAAGCTCAAAAGACTGTCTATCCCTCTTTCCCCCACCTCAGCATACAGCTATATTATTCTTGGCAGAAGCTTGTCTATCCTGTCCTTGAAGAACCCCAGTGGTGGAGATTCCACAAGTGCCCAGACATTTTTTTCCTAATGGTTAACTTATATGTACACAAGGCCCAGTAAAAAGAGGCATGTTCTCCCTTCCCTCTGTCCAGTAAGCGTGTTGGTGCTCCCTGCCTCATCAGATATGCCAGACAGTTCCTAATAATGAAGGTAGAGACACATTTCTTAAAAAAGCAGGTAATACTGATCACAAATATTTTAGTGTTGTACAACACAGGCCTAGCAATGTTCAGATCCTGCAAACACTCATTCAGATGAGTGAATCTGACAGCATCCCTTGAAAAGTTGTGAAGGATTATAGTGGAGAGCCAGGCAACATGAAGAACAACAACCCATCATCAGTAAAAGAAGGCAGTGTAATTTATAAAACATGAGTGAGGAAATCAGTTATACATGAAATTTAGGCAGCAAGACTCACAGGATGTCACTGGCAATGCTGTAGTGATGCAGCTGTACACCATCATGTGTATGTTAAATACAGTGTAATAATGTTTCAATAAGCAGACACAGGAATAATTATACACTACCACCCATATGCCATTCAAACTTGGATAAGCCCAAATTTTCATTAAGTGAATACCCATTATTTCCATTTTTATTTTTTATTTTTTCTTTATAATGAATGTTTTATGCATTTACACTTCAGAATGCAAATTGTCAGAGATTGTCTGCCACAGCCAATCTTCACATAAGGCAGCGATGAGGGCAAAACTGATACACTACAGCATTGCCACAGTATTGCCTTTCTAAGAAAAACATTCCTTTTTAAGTGCAGTGCAACAGTGAAGATGTTACTACAGCCATCTAGGTTTCCTCATTTGTGTTCTAATTTATACCCAAGCGCACTTGTCAAAGGCTGAAAATTTCTTCCTTTCTTACCTCTCACTCTGGACCCTGAACTCTGCCATGTACATAGTGTTGCCACAGCTGTGAGGTGCTGACTCTTTGGGTGGGATTTATTTTGTTAAATTTTAGACATCTACAAAGCAGGTGATATCTTCACTGAACTCCTCACTTAAGCTCTTAGTGAGACAGAATTTTTCTTTCCCTTAGTGGGCAGGAAAGGCACGATTCATACTGTCCTAGAAGAGGTATCTGAAATAAGTCAGATGAATTGCTTTCTAGTTGTCTCTGCCTCTTCAGTAGCTATAAAGTGAACATGGAATGATTTGGTCAAATGTCAGAATCTACACTTCGGTGAGCTGAACCCACCTCTGTGAAAAGTGTTACTTGAAAGAAATTTTGAAGTTAATTGTATTCTATTTTATTAGGTACAGAATAAAAGATATGATGCTATTTTAAAACGTTTGCATTGCCAACTGAACAAACTCCATTCAAATAAAAGACAATGGCACTGGAACATTCAGCAGTTGGAGAAGAAGGCAGCAGAACTAAGAAAGTGTCTCGGAGAAGTGGAGTTACAAAGTAGCATATAAACCAAACCTAACAAAGCTACAATGTGGGTAATCTTTTTCAGATGGAGGAGCTTTTTTCATGGAAATACTACAAATAGTAAATAGCCTGGTAGGTGGGCCAGAGCTCAGTGATTTTATTTTTAAATTTTTTCTCCCTTTCATTCTGTGGCATAAACTAGACTGTGCTCAGTCTGTAATGCTTTGGAATAACTTTTTTTTTTTTTTTTTTTTTTTTTACTGTATTCAGAGGCTGTTCAGGAAGAAAGTTATTAACATTTCCATGTGTTTTCAAAATATGTACCAATTTTATCTAAAAAGTCATTTGAAGTCAACCAAATAAGATTTGAGGAGTTCCTTTTTATTTGATTAGGTCTCTGAAGATTGAGATCTACATTGTTTTTCCTGCAGATAAATTGGTATCAACGTATATTTGCATTCTTGAGATACCAAAATTCCAGATCTTTTATCCACATCCCTTATTACTGTAACCTGATAAGGAACTCTGAAAGCTCTGACGGCCTGTATTTTGCTGTGTGGGAAATTCATATAGAAGATATTATGGCCTGTTTGCCCTATATCTGCCAGGACGTCCTAGCACAGGGGAGAAGGAGGACATAGGTTGTCCAGCTATAAAAGGCTTAGGAACAAGTACCCTCAGAACTGGGCTTCAAATAATCTGACTTCAACTGGTCTAAGATAGGTTAGGAAAGGGGAATGAGCAGGTGAAGAGAAGACTGAATCTGGACAGCTTTTAAAATGGAACAACTCACCCTCTAGAAGTAGGATTGCATTATAGATGGTAGATTATAGAGGAACTTGCTGTGTAGAGGATCTTAGTTAACTAGTACTAGCCATCAAACATCTAAGTGCTTAATGTTCAGTAAGATGATTCTTAACATAAATGACAACCTATTAAGAATTCTTATTAAAACAGTAGTGTAGACATTTGTCTTTGCCTTCTTTTTATTGTGTTTGGTGTTTGAGGAATTTACTGTACTTTCTCTATTCTTACACTTAAGGTAATACTTCTGACTGGACATAATCTGTAAAATTTATCTCTTCTATAGAAGTAGCCTTTTATTTGAGGTATTGTCTTGAATAATTTAGATTTATATTTACTCCTGAATATAAAATGAAGATTTAAGCAAATTGAGTATTTACTGTGGAAAATGTTAAACTGCCTATATATTGTTAGCTTAGGAAAGCAAAGATTAAAATGCAATACTATTATTACTTGTGTTAGAACATTCGTATGTTAATGTATATTTACATTTCCTTTACTATGTTATTTCACTTAATGTAAAGTTATATAAAGCAATATGCTGACTCATGAAGGCTCTCTCTCAAAGTTGTTAGACTCTCAAGTTTGTTTGGCTTGATCTTTTTCCTTTGCAATATTATCAACCAGGCTACTTTAATTAAAACAATAATGTAGAAATGAAAACCTCAGTATCTTATGCTGTAGTGATAGCAATGAGATACAAATAATTTGCTGGGTTAAAACTTTTCTAACCTAATTTATTTAAAAAAAAAAAAAGAGACAGACATCTTAAAACTAACCCCTAATCTTAACTACCTTTCTGTTCTGAAGTGACTCACACATTCATTGCTGATGAGTCCAGAAAGCACCCACAGGACATTGTGTCTTATCATGTATATAGCACATTGCTGTAACATTACAACTGTTTATCCTGACACACAGCAAAACAGCTTGCATTTGATTAATGTATATTTCTAGAAAGGGATCCAGACTTGAAAAATTGGAGTATTTGCTGCCTTATTGATGGTTTCAATAGTTAACTACTCTTCTTTTGTTTTGCATCATTTCTAATTTGAATTTATTCAGCCATCTGTTGAAATAAGTGTACTTTATATCCTCTCCATAAAAATACCTATGTGCTGTCTTCTTGTTGAATTAAATAGATCAAGCCTTTCAAAGTTATTGACTGTCAGACCTGACTGAGAACTTTAGCTTAATGTATCCACCCAAAACATTTTCAGGGTATTAAGACTGTGTGCCCTTAAGTGTGTCTTTTACCACCTATACTGTTTTCATATTTAGTTTCTAGTTATTTCTGAAGCAGAACTGTGAATGCAGCAAGGTATGTTTCTCATCAGTGTCTCGTCCCACTTGATGGGTTATAAGGAGGGTGAATCTTTTGAATTCCTAAAGGGCCTGTGTACTAGGGGACAATCCCGTACTGGGGAACAGTCCAGTCTCTGCTTGGCAGAGCAGCAGGGCAGGGTTGAGTCACAACAGTGACTCAGAGAAACAATTTAGCTGTTAACTTTATTAACTGACAGTTTTAGTGAGTGGAGACAGATTGGCAACGATCAACTGATAACCTTCAGCCAGTGAATAAAGGCACTTTGGCAAAGAGGTTATTTTCCTAACAACCTGAATATATGTAAGAAGGAGGAGAGAGAGAGAGAAAGAGAAAAGAGGAATCACCACCCTTTGGATCCTGTGTTGTCATAGAATAGCAAGCTTGATCCCTAAGTGATGGGTCGATAAAAACACAGGTGAGGGTGTCATCTCTATATAGTCTTTTTTACACCTGTGCAATAGGGTGTTCCAGAACATTCTCATTTTCTTTGGCTTGCCTTGGCACAGCTGGGCAAGTTCTGTCTCTGAGCAGCGACAGGAGGGAGAGAAACAGCCTGTTGCCCCACCTCTGCAGAGCTTGTCCAGCTTCCCCCCCTCCTCCCAGGGCTCCCACTCGAGTCATTTGAGACATCTTCTTTACGAACAGTTTATGACAATCAGCTCCACAAATTACTTCAACCAAATGTACTTTGACACTTATTACCATGGCTATAATATCACAGTTTAACCTTGCACTTTATTCGCTGTTTGAAAACAAATATAACAAACAGTCCAAACCTTCTAACTTAACAAAACTTAAAATTTGTTTTTCTTTTTGAACAATTAAGATGTTCACTATTACTTTTCCAGGTATTATGGCAGTTTCTATGTATCAACACATGTACAGCACCATTCATATCAAGTAAATACCTTAGACCTACATTTTCCCTGTTCTTTTTCAAAAACCTCAGGAAATTTTGGTATCTCACATTATTGTTCTTTTGTACATGTTTTAAATAGTTTAATATCATTTACTGAAGATGGATACAAGAACTGTATGTAATACTGCAGTTAGTGCTGTTGCTTTCTCCTACACAGAGGCCTTCCTGTCATCCAAAGCATGAGTTGTCTAATACTCCTTTTGCTCTGGACTTTTCAAGACACCTCATGTTCTTGTCTACTGAGGCCCTTGACTCCTTCAAGGCATCTCAGCTATCCAAGATGTATTCCTTTTTCCTCAGTGTAAAGCTTTATTTTTCAATATACATATTTAAATTGCCTAAACTTATCTCAATCGTGTCTCATATAATCTGGTAACTGCAGAGGATTCCCCTACATCGGGTAATAGCTGAACTCCATATCAGAGAGAGCCTTTGCCACCTGTGATTTCCTCCATTTCACATCATGGTTTGCCCAAGAAGAAACTCAGCTGTGCAGCCCAGAGGGGAGCTGCTGCATTGTTTAGCTGTATCCCCATATGAATGGTGAGAGTTTTGGAAATTAAAGCACACCTCAGCTTCTCAGCTTTTCTGCCACAAAATGTAGCTGTAGTTCAATTATTTGATTTCACGGTGTGTGTCTGTGCTGTGTATAACTGTTCTGCTCTCATATAATTAAAAAAAAATGCTAGAATTAAGTTTATCTTTAATTCCATATCAAATAAAGATACTAGTATTGGTCATAATACCAACACCTGTGGAGTCACACTCTGAATACCTTCTTCATATGTTGGAGCTTCTTTATCAATTATCCATGGAAATGTGTTAGTCAGTCCTTAATCCATTTTACATGTACATTGCTGACAATATGAATTCTTTAATACAGATGTGGTTTAGTGCAAAGTCCACCATGTTACAAAAAGTCTGTTTAATCTCTGAAATAATTTGTTATAAGGACTCTGATCGTTATTGTCATCCTGCATCATTGTCCTAGTTAAATATCACAATTATAATCACTCTTCCCATATAAACACATTATTTATGTGTTTAATTCAACTGCCTTGATACCCAAGTTGATTCATCTCTAATCTTTGAAGCTTTGATTGTCCTCAGTCCCCACCAAACTTGTAGGAGTTTAGTCACTGAGTGTACCTGAAATCTGCCTTCAGTTTTTTCATGTGCTAAACACCAAATTTTGCAGGATCAAATACATTTTGCATACTTTTGATTAAACAGAACTTTGTATCATACAGTGTTTACATATTTTCCCATGTGTAGCATTTCAAATGTAACATTTAATATTTAACAGATAATAAATATAAGAAAGACATAAACATTTTACTAGTGAATTGCAGTTAATTGGGAGAAAACCTCATCTGGGAAAAAACTCAGCTGAAACAAGGAAATGTAAATTACTGCCTTCTATAAACTATCAGCATTCTGTACAATGTATGAAAAAAAAATTGCATGTTGCTTTTTATAAAACTTCTAATTCCAGCAAATCCTGGCAACCTGATGAGGCAGATTTTTCTTGGTACCGTGTTGAACAGTAGTAGGTTGAGCTCAGGGCATTTTTTCCTCTTAGCAAGGAAGCACAGATAATAGGAGAATGATTTATGATTTTCGGGGAATAACTCAGTAAATGCACTTTGTGTTCTTTACCTAAGGCTCTCCCAGCTCCTGGTGGAGAAGTGTGCTGCCAAACCCGTGTCAGTCGTTTCTGAGGATGGGTGTGGGGCTGAGGAAGGCACCTCTGGCTTCAGCGCTCAACAGGCAATGGGGAGAGGAGCGATCGCTCACTCTGAGCAGCAAAACGGAGAGCAAGCAGCAACGGACACGTGAATAAATAAGAGTGCGGAAAAACTTACCAACCAACGGGTCCTACCCACCGCTTAGCAAAAGTCTGAAGCACAGGAAGCTGGATTTATTCCAACAACAGAGTGTAAATGAGTAGGGGCATCTTGGGGGAACTCCACGCTCGACAGGGAAACAACACA